ATTACATATAAGACACATAATTTATAGTACTACCTATCATGGTCACCCAAGGAGTCAAATACAAAGAAAGCACAGGAAATCTGTCCACAACACTAAAGACCTGGAAAATCCAGATGAGGGCCTGGATCCCATGGTGATCACCTGTATGAGTCCAGCTGGAAACCAAGAGCCCATGGCAATGATGCAAATCTGTTTCACGGATCTGTGCTGGGAGGTCAGCAGTGGAAGCTAGAAAGTCTATTCCAACAGGGTGATGGATCTGTGCCAACAGGCCAAATGCTCAACACTCATGGAATTTAGGAGTGGTGGCATTTTACACCACAAAGAGCAAAGAGTTAAAGATCAAGAAACAATGCTCAGAATAAGGACCAGAGAAAAGTACCACAGCTATCCTCAGTGACACTGAGGTCCCAAGCTCCTCTGACAATGAGAACGGCTGGGTTCACATCAGGGAGGCCAGCGTAACAAGCTTCTCCTGGAGATTGAACAGCACACATCTATTTAATGGATCTGTACTGGGAAGATCCAAAGTTCAGTGATGGAAGCTAGAAAGTCTATGCCAGCAGGTGACAGATCAGCACCAACAGGCTGAGTGTTCTGTACTAGAGCCAAAAAGTGACACTCAAAATAAGGACCAGGGCTCTCCTGGAAAGTACCAGAGTCATCCTCAGCAACAATGAGGTCCCGAGCTCCTTCAGTGATGAGAACAGCCAAGTTCACATCAGGAAGCCAGTGTGACAAGCTTCTCCTGGAGATTAACCAGCACATGTCTTCCCCTCCAGAGCTAGGAAGTGATGCACACAGTAAAGACCAAAGCTTTCCCAAAGTAGATCTCAACCATTCTCAGCAACAAGGTCCTGAGTTCCTCTGATGATAATAGCTGAGTTCATATCAGGGAAGCCAGCATGACAAGCTCCTCCAGAAGAACCATTGATGCCAAATATCAACATTTAGGAGAACCCACAATGCTACTGTCCCTCCCCAGGTCTCCTTTGATTCTGGCAACAGTCTTCAAGTGGGCCATTTACACTCAGTACCACGCTGATTCAGCCCAGCTGGTGTTTAAGTTGACCACCAGTTACCAATTCACTATAAACCATTTATGCAACATATTCAAGGAAGGGAACGTGTCAAATAAGAGCTGACTTGTGATCTCAAGTCTAACTGCCCTTTCTACAATATCATGGAATTTAAGAGTGGTGGTATTTTACACCAGAGAGAGTTAAATATCATTTGAGTCAGGGATCCCTTCTTGGATAGCCTATCACACTTATGATTTGGTTCTGCTTGTAGGTTCTTTTGGATCCTGGGCAAGGGGTGAAGCTTGATGTCCCAGGAAAGAGATACAGACATGGTCTACCCTAGAGCCTGGAGGTGACCTATGAGCTGACCAGTCTCAGTACAAGACCTATGAGCCAAGTGCCTTCGGTAAATCCACCTTTAACAAACACGACAACTTTATTTCATAAGATAAAATGATGCTACTGATGCTGATGGTGATATTGGTAGCTTAGAACCTCTTCCTCAAATCTTGCATTATAAATGAAATGTAGGGGAATGTGGTTTTGTCTCCAAGGGAAAGAAGAGCTGCCCTTGATTTGCCTGTATCCTCATGGTTGAAAAATGTTTCCCAAACAACCAAACACCAATGTACATGTATTAGAGTGGCTCAAGTCCGAGACACCATCAATACCAAATGCTGGCAAGGGCATGGATGGAGCAACAGGAACTCTCATTGTTTGCTGGTGGGAATGCAAAATGATTCTGCCACTCTGAGAGACAAGCAGCTCCTTATAACACTTAAACACATGCTTAATCATTCAATCATATACCTTGGAATTTATCAAAGGATTCTGAAACTTATACCCACATGATACCTGGATAGCAGCTTTATTCATAATTGTCCAAATTTAGAGACAATCAAGTTGTCCTTCAACAGATAAGTAGATAAAATGTGGTAAATCCAGACAATAGAACATTTGGTGCCAAAAGGGAATGAGCTCTCAAGGTATGAAAAGACATGGAGAAAATTTAATGTCTATTACTAAGCCAAAGAAGCCAATCTGAAAAGGTTACAGGCTATGTGATTCCAACTACATGATATTCTGGAAGAGACAAAACAACAGAGAAGGTAAAAGGGGTTGAGGTGCAGGGACAGTGAACAGGTGAATCACAGGGGATATTCAGGGTAGCGAATCACTCTGGGATACTATGGTGGTAAATATAAATCATTAGACATTTGCCCAAACCTGTAAAATATACATTAGCAAGGGTGAACCACAGTGTACACTTTGGGGAATAATGATTTGTCAACGTAGGTTCATCAGTTGTAATAAACATGCTGCACTGGTGTGCGGTGTCCATAGGGAGGGCGGCTACCCACATGTGAGGGCAGCAGGTATACGAGAAATCTCTGTACCTTCCACCAATTTTGTTGTGAACCTAAAACTGTCCTAAAAAATGAAGTCTCTTAAATACAAATACATGAACAAATACGTAAACATCGTTTCTCTAACCCTCCAATTTGGACACATAGCCCACATGCTGACTCCTGAGTTTTCTGTCTGTGTTCTCCAATTGTGGTCTCCAAACTAATGTCCTAGGAGACTGTTTCCTCATTTCATTTTGTATTTTTTAATAGCATCTTTGTCTGATGACAAAAGTAGGACATAAAGAAAGTTGGGAAAATAAAAATAAAGCAGGAAAAAAGTCCCTCTCTCAATTAGTCTCCTCAGAGAGATGGATCACATGTTGGCTGTGTAGCACTGCACCCTCTATAATTTAATGCCCCACATTATTCCATTGCTAACATATTTCTCCATCACTAGGGACTTCAAAAGCATTACTGCTTCAGCAAACATCTCATAGCTTCATATCCATCTCATATCCATCCCATAGCTTCATTACTCACACAGCATTCAGATGGTAATATTTAGGATATTTTCAGTATTTGTGCTTCTCTAACTAATATGATAGCCCATTTGTGTATTCAAAACTTTGTTGAATTTTTAAAATTAGTTCCTAGCCTTGAGATTATGGGGTTAAACAGTGTGACTATCTTGGTGATTTTTGTTCTAATGCATAACTGCTTTTGAGTCTTTGATTCTAATGCCTGTGTCTATTGTGACATGACTGTAAGGATGTACATGCACAATTTTCTGTCGTCCCTCTTCATTCATAATTATACTGCTAGCTCCGTTCTCATGCTGCTCTGCAGAATGGTTGATCCTGATGATTTCCTAGTGGCCCCTCTGGTTGCTGTGCTGTCGAAGCTGACCTTATCCTGCTGACAAACATTTCAGTTGCTTCCAATTTTTGTGTCAAGTGGTATTCTGAAGCACCAAAGTCCAGTGGAGTAGAAGCAGTTGCTCTTACCTGGGGCTTACTGTGATAGGGCTTGACAACTGCTCATTTCCTTGTTTCCTCAGAGGAGTGTTGGAAGCGTTTGCTTTGAGAACATGGTTGACAATCCTACACTTAGAACCAGACAGTGGGTGACAGCATGCTGTGCTTTCAGGAGGAGCCAGGCCAGTTCAGACTGGATGTGGGGGTACATAAGTAAGTGCAGGGTCGTGGCCTTTTCAGGGCTAGATTTTTGTGGTCTATCTGTGATCCATCTGACTTTCACTTGTGACACAGCTGCTGTGCTGAAGTCTGTCATTTTATGGAACAGAAGCAGTAGTAGGCTGAATGGGAGGTCCCAGTGGAAGAAACAGGAATGGCCAAAGAGCCTGCAGGAGGCCCACCTGCCAGCAAAGAGATGGGCCTTTCTGACTGCAGCCTGATCCCACCATTCCTGGGGCCCAGCGTCTCTGTTGGCAGGAGGGACTGGAGTGCTGTCTGCAGAGCCCCAGTCTGCAGACCCCAGGTCCTTGAGGCTCCTTTTACTGCAGGAAAGGACACTGTCTCTGAGGGGATGCATCTGGGCCTTCGCGGCAGCATTCATCACTGTCCAGCACAGCACCCCAGTTCTCTGACACTTCCAGGCAGCACTGCCCTGCCAACCCTTCACAGCCAGTGAGGTTTTGGGGGACAGTGGGTTTGGGTATAGGAAGACTGTACACATTTATTACAGTTGGTCCTCTCTAGATTTCTCATTCCAGCATCAAAAATATTCAGGGGAAATACTGCTCTGTACTCAACATGAGCAAATTTTTTTCTTGTGATTATTCCCTAAACAGTACAAGTTTTACGTGGCATTGCATGCATTATTAAAAGTCATCTAGAGATGATTTAAGGCACTTAGAAGACATGTATAGCTTATATGCAAAAACTGAGCCATTACATCTGACAGACTTGAGCATCCATGATTTTGGAATCTCCTGGGCTCCGGTGTACAACGGGAATGCCATTCATGTGTTGGCAAAACTGACCAAGAATAACCTTCTCTCCATCAGTAATGATCCCCTTCTGTGGGAATTAGGAAACAAGCCGGTGTATAGTGGTGGAAGGTCTGGGATGTGGTCAGAAGTCTTGCACCAGGACTCTTGGTATCTATTCCGTAAAAGGAGAATAATAACACCTACCTTGTGGAGCTGTCCGGACACTGAGTAAGTCAATGCCTATCAAACCACAGGCCAGACACAAGGCACACACTTTAGATCATTGTTATAATTATTACCAGCAAAGTGGGACGAACTGGCCAAAGGCTAAGCGTGCAGGAAAGAGATGTGGAGATCTGCCCAAGGCGCCCAGAGATGCCCATTTATCCGGGCAGGGAGGATGGAGCCCTGGGCCTGGGTTGTGGATGTGGAGCCTGGGAAGAGCCGCGCTCTTGGGCCTCGCTCCCGTTAGTGGCTGTTGGATGCCAGGGCCCTGTAACTGCCGCTGTGCATTATCTGTGACTTTTGAAATCACTCTCCGCCTCCACCTGGCCTCCTTTCCTGCGCCGCAGGAGGGGCCTGCTGAAGAGGAGGACCGAGCGTCGGGTCTGGGCGGTGCTGGACCCGGACTGTGGAGAGAGTCCCCGCCCCAGGGTGGCGTCGCCGGAGCGCCGGGGGAGTCCCCTCCGCCGCAGCGCGGCGCGTGCCGCTCCTCCTCCCCGCCCTTACGGTCCAGGCGCCGGGAGTGGCTCTTTAAAAGGCAGAGTCGGGTCTGCAAGGGGAGGGTAGGGGGTGCTGACCCCCGCGGAGGCCCGGCCTCCGCCCCGTGCGGCCGCGGCGCCCCCGCCGGCCAGGCGCTCGCTCCGCCCCGCAGTCTTCGGGCAGCCCAGTGCGCGGCGTGCAGCGGCGCCGAAGCCGGAGCCGGAGCCGGAGCCGGAGCCGGACGCGCGGCCAGGCTTGGCCTCCCTGCGCAAGACCTGCGCCCACCCCACGCGAGGCCGGCGCCGCGATGGCAGAGATGGGCAGCAAGGGGGTGACGGCGGGGAAGATCGCCAGCAATGTGCAGAAGAAGCTGACCCGCGCGCAGGAGAAGGTGAGCGAGCCGGAGCCGCTGCCCGCACCGCTGGGCGGCCTGCCCGTCGGCCAGCGTTGCCTGGGTCCCTGGGCTGCGGCAGCCCCAGCCGGCGCGCTGTGCTCCCCGCCCCGCGCCCTGCGCCTTCGCGGCCGCCCCGCGGGGAAGGGGCAGCCGCGCCCCGGGCTCCACCGTGGGGCTCGGGGCCCAGAGGCTGGAGGCCAGGCTGCGATCCTGGCTCTCCAGGCCCGGGGTGGTCGGACAGAGCTCAGCTCCCCACCCTGGTGCCTCCGCGCGCCCGCGACCCCGGGCTGCTTCTCTCCTTCCCCGCGGGCCAAAGCAGGGATCGGGTTTCCTTCCCAGAGCTGCCCGTTGCCTGCGAACTCCTGCCTGGCTCCTCCGCGGCAGAAGGCTGCGCAACTCGGAGAAGGTGCCCTCACCCGAGCCGGGGTCGCGCGTTTCCGGCGGCTGGGGAGAGGGTGGTGGCGGGCGGGTAAGGAGACTGGGGTTGGGGGGCGCCGCAGGAAATCCGAACCCTTCTTCGCCGGAGCGACTCCAGGCTGACGCTGGGCACCCTGACCGTGCAGGAAATGCGGGGGTTGGGGGCTGGGGTCCTCGCCCGGTTGGCTTTTTATCCCAAGCCATCTCTGGTTGATTGAATTGGATCACGCCAGCTGCTGCTGACGCCACTTCCCCTGCTGGTTCCGACTCTCAAATCTGAGATTGCAGAGTCCCTGTTTCTGCTAGGGTAATTCTCCCAGTGCCCTGTGGTGGGGCCGGGTGGGGACGTGGGGCATTTAGGCCTTTCCCCGCCGGCCTTGTGGCTGTTTATAAACAACGACTTTTGCTGCTGAGACCTGGGGCTCCCTAAGGATGGGGCCACGTGATGGGAGAGGGAGGGCTTTCCCTGCGACTTCTTCGAAGCCCTGCTGCTCATCCTTGTTTTGCTAGCCAAGAAGGTGTGTGTGTGTGTGTGTGGAGTGGAGGGCTGTCCACCCAGCACCAGATCTGGCCAGACCTGCACCTTCCCTCCACAGGAGAAGGGGTAGAGTCCCAGGCAGAGCTGGCAGGGGCCTGGGGAGATTTCGGTCACCCTTGCGCTCCCACCCTGCCCTGTGGCTGGGTAATCCATCTAAGTGCCTGGGCTGGAGCCTGCACTCTGCTCCCAAAGGGCTGCCGGGAAAATACAGGGCCACAGAGACAAGCGTACCCCTCTATGTTTGATTTCTCCCTGCCTCCCCATCGCTATCCTCTGCCCTTGCTGCATTTCTCTGCGGCAGCATCTTTGGTATTGTCCTAGGGGCAAAAAGCGTGGACTGTGTATCACTGGTCTCTGTTCCATGGCCTTGGCCACTTGGCCGACAGCTGGTGGGCTATGGATGCTGGCTCTGTTCAGGCCTGCAACTGCAGTTGCTCAGTGCCACAGCTGCTCTCTGCCCAGTGAGTACCAGGCAGGGGCCTCCAGCGTCAGAGGCCAGGGCAACATATGTCAGGCATCGTGGCTGTCTCAGAAAGTAACCTTTCATCTCTTCCCTTCCTGGGTGACTGCAAGGCCCGCTTCGGGAAGCCTCTCACCTCAGCCCACTCCAACTTCTTCTGTATGCCTTGCATGCTCAGAATCTGCATTTGTCACACCCTGGATGCTGCTAGCTGGGCTGCTGCCTCAGCATCTTGTGATGTTCAGGACTCGTCTAACACCCATTGCTAATGGGACCTCAGTCCCCGTTGTGGTACAAGCAGCCCTGCCACTGTCCCCATGCCGCCTTGGTCAGATCAATGGATAAGGGGACCGTCACACTTTTCATGTTGCCATGAGTGGGTGTTTCCTGACCACAAACAGCAGGAGCTGTGCTGGAAGGGCCCTGCTGCTCATTATCTCTTCTCCCCCGATTTTCTACCTTCCCTCTCATTTCAGAAGTCCCCCAAGACTCGGAGGGTGACAGCATGGTCAAGGGCAGCCTGCCCTTTGTTCCAAGGGCTCTGTGGGGATCAGGAGACCAGCTGTCCTGCATGAGCCTGCCTGGATCCTGGGTTGTTGTCACCCATCAATTCATCTGCCTCCACTGCTGGTGTGGCAGGTGTGGACCCGCTTTGGGCACTCTTCTGGCCCTGTTGGTGCTTAGTGAATACTTTTAAACTAATGAAGCAGCTTAGAGCTGGGCTGGTTTGTGTTCTGACCACTCTCCACTTCTACCTCATCAGGTCCTTTCTGGATATGAGCCAGGTGCTACGTCCTAGGCTGAGTCCCCGATCCTGGCCCTGACGGGGTTCCTGTGCCCTGTCCTGCATGGTGCTTACTCTCCTAAGGTCTCGTCCCACCACTCCTCACTGCCTAGATACTCGCAATGTGATGGGGTTGCAGAGTTTGTGCAAGGGGCGCAGGCCTGTGGGCATCATGAGGTCATCTTCCCATTGCATTTGGCTTGTCGGACCCTCTATAAATGACTGTGTCCATTTTTGGACCTCAGAAGGGTGGCTGGGCAGAGCTAATTCAGGGCGGACCCTGGGTCAGGTGACAGAGAGGATTAGAGGTTGGCAGGCTGGCCCCCGGGGGTGGTGTGGCTGGGGAAAAGGACAGCTGGGGTGGGGGTGGAATCTGGCCTGCTGGCCCCTGAAGGACTGGCACAGGAGTTCTGGTGGGGAGAGCATGAGGAGGCTGTTCCTGTGCTGGTGGAGCCTGGCCAGTGAGGAGACAGAAGGCCCTCTTGGCCCGGAGTGTGTCCTCTGCCTGTCCCTCGTGGCTGACCAGCCCTGAGCATGCTGGGAAGGGTGCAGGAGGATCAGTGGGGAGCACCAGCTGGAGGGAGGCCCCTGGCAGCACAGTGCAGTGCTGCCAGGCTGAGTAGATGCTCCCTGAGGGAAGGGGTGGCAGTGGTTATTTATAAGATTCAGAGGCTTGGCTGTGCCCTGTACTGCATTCCTCTTTGTGGTCCTGAGTAGCAGTCATGTCCGCCTAACAATAGGAGCTGGGCCTGTTGTACACTCAGTCTGTCCTCGGAAAGTTCACACAACCCTGAAAGTTGGGTGCACAGGGGTCTGTGGGGGAGCAGACGGGCTTCAGTCATGCAGCTTAGGAGTCCACAGGCTCCTGAGTTTGCATGGCCTCCCCCTTCCCAGCCCTAGCCCAATATTGCTGTCCTCCTGTCTTCCTTTCCATCTGCGTGTCCATCTCTTCTCTGAGTGTCTGAGGCCTTTTCCTTGTCCCCCATTCCTACCCCCAGGTTGTCTTTTCGTCGGCTTCTGCCTGTCTCTGCACTTGGCCTCTTCCCCCTGACTCACCTAGGCCTTGGATTAGCTTCGAGGTTATTTCTGTCCATGGTTCATGGCCCCAGGAGAGGGCTCCTGCACCTTCGCCCTGACCTGGTGTGCGTAGGTGCTCTGTGGGTACTGGCTCAGGCGAGTGGGCATGGAGAGCTTGGAAGCGAGACCCCCTCTCTTCCTGAGGCTTCAGGCCCGGGTGTCCGCTGCACAGCCTGCTGGCTCGTGGTAGGAACTGAGCTAGGCACACTGCTTTGTGTAGCAGGGCAGCTTGCTGGGAAGGAGAAGGTGCTCAGGAGGGACAGGGACAGGGGCAGGGACAGGATGGGCCAGGGCATGGAGGAGGAGTTGGGGATGCTGAGGATGTCTGGAGAACAGGGCTGGCTGCGGGGGACACTGGAGCCAGATGTGATTTAGTTTGTGTGCCCCTGGGATTCGGAGGAGCCCAGCCTGACCGAGTGCCCTCCCCATCCTCACAGATTGCCCCTTGGGGTGTTTCTTTTGCTCTCTGGCATCTAACCAAGCCTTTGCTCCCGGACAGGGAATTCAGGAACAGCTTGTTTCTTGTATGCTGCGTGACTGGACAAAATGAGGAGAGTTTTCTGTTCCTTCCTCCTGCTGTTAGCCAGGGCCTTTGCCTCACCGCTCCTCAGTCCTCCTGTTAGGTCTTCAGTCTGGCCTGACACCGTGTGGAGAGTGGCAGAGGGGACGCAGGCTCTGGGTTCCCCCCACTGGCCTTGGGACGGAGGTCCAGGGGCTAGGCCTTCCCGAGCTCCTTTTCTGGTTTAAGCTGAGTGCCGAGCTTTCCTGTCCGTGTGTGTGCTGCTCACAGGACAGGTGCATGGTTTGTAGCAGGTGCTCCCTGCATGCCCGCTCTGTGGGCAGGCGGGGCTGCCGAGGTCCTGTGGGGAGCCTCTGTCCCCACATCCCCCGTCTGCCTGCAGTGCAGTGTCCATTATGGGCCTCTGCAGACAGATAATCCCTGCTGAGCCCTGAGCTGCTTGGGGTTTTGGGTGTTGTCTTAGGCCTGGGGTGGGTGTGTGTGTGAGAGAGAGAGAAAAAAAAAGAAAGAGAGGTGATCTGTGACAGGTACAAGGTTTGGACTCAAGAGTCAGACCCTTTTGGATGAATCTCGACTCCTCTAGGTGTATTCTGTGACTGTTGGGACAAAACTTACTTCTTTCTCCTCTTTACTTTTCACCTTTGGCAGAGTGTCTGTGGCGTTTGAGTAGTTGATCATTTATCTACATGAGTATTGAGCACTCAGTATGTGCTGGGCACTGTGGCAGGAGGAGGGGACCCTGACAGACCAAGCCCCTGCCTGGCCTGGCAGAGCTGCTGCCCTGGCTGGGAAGGTGGGCTCTGTGTGAGTGACTCTTGTATTCAGTAGCAGCAGGAGCAGGACAGCAGAAGCACACTTAGGACGTGAGGCCCAACGGGCGCTGAGATTTCAGATGTGTTTGGGGGCTGGGCGGAGGCCATGGGAAGCTTCCTATCTGATGCCTGATGTGTTGTGTTTTTCTAAAGCTGTCTCTTTGGCAAGTCTCCTTTCCGGATTAAAACTGCAAAGAAAAGGACACAAACCTTAAAAACATGGAAGGCGGCTGGCCCAGAAGATGCGCAGCTCAGGTGGATGTTTGTGTAGGGCCCAGCAGCAGGCTCTCCTGCCCAGTGTGTGGGAGAAAGGGGTTTGGAGGGGCTAAAGGATGAGGAGGAAGGTGCCAAAGATGCCACAGACTGGGCAGGGCACTCATCAGATTCCA